CTAGAAATAGTAGAGAGCGATAGTAAGAGTAATAGTAATCTAGCAGAGTGTGCTAGAAATATACTCAATGCTTCAGCTTATATCATGAAGGAAATTAAAAAGGAAAAAGAAAAAAAAGCGCTGGAGGAGCTTAGAGAGGATTTTACAGGCATCAACAACTGCTATCGGCAACTCCCCTGTTTCCATTTTGTAATTAGACAGCATCCTACCTCCTCTCGTGCTGCCAGCTGCTGGCACACCTGCCATTCCTCCCATCCGACAGACCGGCCAGAAGAAGCTGTGTCCAAGACTTGGCCTGTGCATTTTGTTTTATACAGGCTGCACGGAGCCTGCCTGGCAGCTCTCGGGCTTACTCTGCTTACGGGTATTTAGAAGAACCATTGCAACAGTTTGCACTTCCTGGTTTGCAAGCACAACGTGCGTTTTCACGATGTAAGTTCAATTCTAAGAATTTAAATGGAGGCTGAGGCTTGCCGGGCAGCATTCCCGTCTGCCAGGAAATTAACAGTTCCTTGAACTTAAAGTTTCATGATAGCAATTGGAAATGTGCTTTTAAAACTGAAATAGGTCCAGCACTACTGTTTCTCCTCCTCTTCCCCCGAGATGTATCTCCCTCCCAAGGAAATTAAAGAAGATATTTACAAAATGTGAATATGAAAAATCCAAAAAGTCTATGCAGGAAGTCCAATTACTTAAGTGCATCAGCATCTTTTCTTCAGGGCAGTTTACTTCAAAATTGTGTCAGCAGCACAGTTTGAGGACACCACAATTCACCACAACCTGGCAGCATATGATTCAGACAAAACTGTACAGTCCCAGGAGAAAGTTAGCATGCACAAAGTCTCCTTTTCAGAACAAATATTTCCTTCATGCAAGTAGCCTTTAATGCCTTTAGTCTCATTATTTTGTGTATATTTGACAGTGGGGAAAAATAAGGGTGTCCAAACCGTGACTTTTGCCACTTCATTAATGTCAAAAAGAAAGATAGACAAAAGAATTGTTCTGCTACTCAGTTTGTTGATGATTGGATCTGATTATGCTGCCTATTTTGAAAAGAAAATATATAAACAATTAAAGACTAAAAAAAGGTGTTAAGGGCTAGTGCACCTAGCTAGTCAATATGCACAGTAACAAGTGCTGAAACATCCCACCACGACAGTGCAGGGATGTTTTCAAAAGCAAATTGTATTGATCTCCAGTCCACTGATGAATGAAAATGAAGGGTACATAACGGAGTCCGTATTTGGATCCCGCGGACAGATGGCAGTCAGCGGTCCTGATCTTGCTGTTGTTTACAGCCATCTGGAGTTCACACTCCTTCACATGCTATTGGTACTACATAAGGGCATATTCAAGTTGCATTTTTAATTATGCACATAGCATGTCATCGACGCAGTCTTAGGACAGGAAAATTTTTAATGTATTAAAATAATTACGCTAGTTCATCTCAATTAATGGAAAAAAACCCTTTAGATTAAACATCAATAGAAAACAATGCCCTTTAAAGACTGCCAGCACAGAGTGGCTCTAAGCATCAGTATACAACCAGGTGTGTAAATATTGGCAAAAGCTTTTGCTCCTCTCTCTCTTACTATATACTACAGACTAGCCTCGACAGTGCAACATGCTGCACCCATTAAAAGACTGCAAAAAAACTTCTAATAGCAGATGGCTGAGTTTATGCTGATGAAGAAAGGTTTTCCAGCAGTTTGGTTTTCCAAATCTTACAAATGTTACAAAGTTCATTTTACATCTGGAATTCCAGATATATAGCTTCTTTTGCACTATTTTGTTTGCATCCCTCATACTAACTGAAGATTTTATTTGAATGTTATTGTGAGGGGTTTTTTAATATTATTAAACATAGGAATATATGTCTGATTGTGATGCAATCATTCTGAATAGTGGCCTTTAATGAATTTTTGTATTTAACTTCAAAGAAAATTCTTGCACAGTTTTACATAGAGCACTGTTTCCTCAACTGTATGATACTGTCTACATAACTAATGTAACCTTTTTTTTCTTTGCGTTCATATTTTTGTTCCCATCTTCTTTGCAGTAGAGGGCACTAGCAGCAACTTGCATTTAGCGCTTGTACGTGGCTGTGCAGCGCTCGGACTTCACTCACAGCCTGGGCCTGGAGCACGGGAAGCCTTACCCTCCAGGTGCCCACAGCACAGGCTGAAGCTCCGCACGGTCAGGGTTTCTGGCAGCACTAACCTTCCCCAGCACAGGGCAGAGCGTTGCAGAGGTCACCTGCAATGCCGCGCCAGGGCAGAGCGGCTGCTGCTCTCCGGGGACTGCAGGCTGCAGCTTATCCTGCAGACACGGCCCCTGGTGCTGCTCCCACTGGGGCAGCAGGCCCATACTTTAGCATGCCTTAATATGTTATGGGAAGGTAAGCAGTGTTATGATCCCATAACACGACGGTGTGGGAAGAGGGCACACCAGCATCAAGCTTTTTGCAGGTTCAGGATCCACGTGAATATACATTGCATGAAAAATTAATCTAATATTTGTTGAAACATTCTATCAACAGATGAAAGCAGGACTGTTTATATCGGAAGGGGATAAGTTTATCTTCTGAAACAAATGGGGTCTTCATTTGCCCCAGGAATACCTCTGACGTCTACTAAAAGTCACTGTGAGCATGTGGATGGGCATGGGCTCACTGCAGCTGAACTTCTGCAGAGGATGGAGAGTGTCTTAGGACCTGGGGACAATAAAGAGTTAGGAAGTCCTACTTTCAAACGCTGTCTTGGGTGTTGATACTGGAACCTCGGGTAGACTGGGGTTTCGAAGGGATTAGCTCATATGAAAACAAAATTGAGTAGGCAAGACAACGGGCTTTTTAGACACTATACTGATCAGCCAGTCACAAAATGTTTTTGAGAGTTAAAATAATTAACATAGTAACCATTATTGTCATTATCCGGTCCCTACCACAGTTACAGCTTACTGCAGTTCCTGTTGATACCAGGATATGAGCTGCGTAATTTTTAAGCTTGAGCATTGCGTAAACTGGCTCCTGAAGGGAATTGATATTGCAAGGAAATAAGAATATTTATACTAATAGAAAGTTGAAAACACTGGAGAGACTTCCATTTGCTGTGCAATGCTTGAATGCATGTACTGGTTTTGCCTGCGCACATTTCTCCTCTTTACATCACACCAAGTTCCACCACACACAGAGATTTGGCCTGCAAAACAGTTTCTATGTTTTTTTCTATCACGTTGATTATAATCACTGTTTGTTCAGACTGCACTGCAGATACATAAAGCGCTCGGTGCATCTCTTGCTTAGAGGCTGTGAAGGAGAAGAAGGAAAAATGGGAACTATCCTCTCTGACTAGAACAGCTCACAGCTTACACCTTCCCTTCGGAGGATGCCACGAGCGCCACAGAGTGATCCCCGGGGGAGGGGGTGGGGGCCGGCAGGCGGGCAGTAAATCCGGAGAAGGTAGGGATGCTGTTGCGCAGTTAGGGGCAGCAACCAGAAAACAGAGCAGGGAGAAGGTTGGCCTCTGTGATGGAGACCTTGTGGGCGCCATGAATCCTGTCTGAATGCCCCACTAGATGACCAGAGAGCCAAGGTCATGCACGGCCCTTTGTTTTCAGCTCCATATCAGAGTTGTACTAGCTCCATGCAGGTGCCAACCTCTAGACTGCTACGCATGCCTTTGCCAGCATAGCGTGGGGCTACTGAAAACCAACATATCAGCCGCAGTCCATTTGAAGACTGCCGCTGGTCCACAAGCAAATGGCCCCTCGCTGTGAAGACCTCCTTTCAGGTGTTCATTAAGGTGGCGCTCTGACGTGTACGTCACCTGCCTCCTGGTTTTTAAACTCATTTTAAAAGGATTTTGATCTATAGCTCTAAGTGATCCTGCTCTT